GCTGGGCACGCCTTACGTACTTCTCATACATTTCCTGGACCTTTTGTACCAGTTCCTTTGCCCTAGAGGGGCTCACCTGGCGCAGCTGATAGCGCTCATGGTCGGCCTTCGCCGACTGGGTGCGCATGGTATTCCCTGGGCTCGCCATGTAAGTCAGATAGAAAATGTTTCTTAAGTTGGAATGTGTTTGCGGAAGCGATGGAGTGCTTGACTCCGAGGTCGTTTGACCGGTTGGTCTAAGATACCAAAATTGTAACAAAGCTTGCAGTTGGCAAGCAGTTGCGAAAAAGGAAATTATCCAACGATAAAAGGTGGTATTGATAAATACCGTTTGGTATTGGAAGATTATGAATAGTTCTTGGATGTACCGTTGGTACGATACCGTTGGCCCGGTGAGCCAAGGGCCGCCTTAGCGGCGTTACATATGGTCGTTCCGTTGAGGTCCGTTAGTACGAGTCGTCAGTTTGTCTAGGTACGCTATACGCCTGCAGCTTTCTGTGTACCTATGTTGAGCGGCAGTTAACCTGCCGTGTGGTTACACCTGGACCTGCGATTAACCTTTAGGATGCTAGCTGTGTAAGTAGTGTGATAGCGGGCATCCCCGACGGGCATTCCGCGGACTTTCCCATCACGTTGAACAGACAACATTTTGAGAGCCAGCCATGTCAGGCGTAAAGGTCTCAGCAGGGGCTGAGCCCTACGTGTCGCATGCGTCCTTAGTTGAGACGGCCAAGCGCTATCTGACGAAGACCAAGTCACAAGAGCTCCTAATTCGCTCAACGATACTGATCTTCGTATATCTTCTGGCGTTCTGCGTTCGGCTGGTGGGATCATTGTCAAGATCTTCCTGCCCGTGCTGTCCTAATAGGTTCTCCTATTTGCGCGCTATCAGAGCCCGTCGCTTTTTTTCTTTAGCTAACTTGAACCTGTCATGGCTTGCATGTGGTGATCATGCTGCCTGTTGACCGTGTCCCCCGTGTCCCTTTCCTGTATTGCAGTTCTCAGTGCTGCGCTACGAGAGCGTGATCCATGAGTTTGACCCATACTTCAATTATCGTAGCACCATTAAGCTTGTTCAGGAAGGGTTTTACGAATTCTGGAACTGGTTCGACGCGGAGTCATGGCACCCGCTAGGTCGCGTGGTCGGAGGCACGGTGTACCCCGGCCTCATGTTTACGGCAGGGATCTTATACAAAGTGTCAAAGTTCCTCACGGCGTGCATTAAGCTACGGGACATCTGCGTCTTCACGGCGCCATTCTTCGCCGGCAACACGGTACGTGAGCACTGTCGCCCTGGCGCTGTGGCTCGACGGACTGGGGCTCCTCCTCGCAACCAGCCGTCGATGACCTATAGGATTGCAAACGCACTTACCTTTCGTTGGAAAAAACACTGGACCTGTTCCACATCTGGATTGGCGGATGTCACCCGTTAAAAGCACACATCCGGGGGCCCGAGGAGGTATATGGCAGTTGGCCGTACAGGGCCGTACGGGGACCCACAATCTTCGCGACAGCGCATCAACTTTACCGCTCCGAAGCAACCACTCAATTACGACTTGAACGAACCTGCCCCGAACACGCTTCGTGACATCTGTCCACGTAAATATGCTAGGCAGTCCTGCTTGAACTCCGTGAACGGCACCGGGCCCCCGGGCGGAGTTGGCAGCTCACCGTTGCCTAGGCGCGGCCCATATCACCGGCCACAGCGGCAAACCCCTCGCCCCCCGACCTATCGTTGCGTATCTGCTTCTCACTCGACCCCAGGCGATGATTGCGTATCTGTTTGGTAAGGAGCTCAAGGACACGGAGACCGGCCTAGTGGCCGCAGCACTGATGGCCATCGTACCCGGTGGGTGCCTGGCTGAATGGATGGATGGTAGGGTGGGTAGATCGGCTCCGGGGCGAGGTGGGAAGTCCGGGCGGGTCCCGAAGCAGGCTGGAAAACGAGACCGGTGCCAATCCTCACGATACGGCATCACCACACAAGACCCCCTTCCATACTTCCTGCCACTCCCGGCACCCGCAGGCTACATCTCCCGCTCCGTGGCGGGCTCCTTCGACAACGAGGCCGTTGCCATCTTTGCGCTCGTGACCACCTTCTACCTGTGGGTGCGTGCCGTGAACCAGGGCACCATTGCCTCCGCCGTGCTTGCCGCATTCGCCTACCTGTACATGGCGGCGTCCTGGGGTGCCTACGTCTTCATCTCCAACCTCATCCCGCTCTACGTCATCATCATGTTTGTCAGCGGAAGGTGGGTAACACAAGTGGGGGTAAAGAAGCGCTGATGAGAAGAGGTCGTAGCATTATCATTCAACCAGGAACTGCTTCTTGTTATAGCTGGTGCCCTGAAGCCCATCGCAAGGCGAGAAATTTCGCGGCCTGGTTCCCTTGCAAGCGTCAAGTCTTGACGAACGGTGGTTATGGTTGCACATTTTTGTATTGACGTACATCCTTACATTTCCACCGAGCCTTTCCCAGTGGGCTTACGCCGTTGCAAAACGAAACAAACACGTGTAAGGCCATGCGCCGGTGGGCTGGATTGGTCAGCGACAAATTCTTTTGGCCAGTTTGGCCGGTCGAATTAGTGGGTGGTCTGTAGGTAAAACATTCAGAGCCCGGCTGGTTGGGCAGAGGCAGTTTTCCTGGGTGACAGGAGCGAGCCGGGGTTCCACGTATCGTACCCAGCAACGGTGGTAGTGCAGACTGCAGCATTTCGGAAGTGCACACGCTCTTGTCTCTAAAGTGTGGTAGTGTGATTACTCTGTTGGCTGCTGTGTATGGCTATTCACCGTTTCCTGGACTACACCCCCGCCGGGGTTTGGGACCTCCCCGCAGGTACTCTCGGCGCATCTACGTGGCCTACACCACTTTCTGGGCGGTGGGCAGCCTGCTGGCGATGCAGGTGGATGGGGTTTTTGGGAGTTAAGGGGGGCAGCTAGAGGGGAACGGGAGAGGGTCTGCGGAATCGCCGTTCACTTGATGAATACACGGTGTTGGACCCGGTGGTGGGTTGTGTAGTTGTGGGAAGGCTGAGGTCTGGCAGACAGAGCAATGGGGAGACAGAGGATGGTTTTGAGGAGGCCGCCTTCGGGCGATGTGTCGATTGATTGATAGGGAATGCAAATAGGCCTCTGGTTGGTGGTCTGGTGGGCTGTGTGTTGGTTGACGCTGCTCGCCCAGGTAAGCGGATTGGGTTGGGTCGGGTCGGGAGTTCCTAAGCCCAGGTCCAATTGAAGGATCCAATGGACATTGCAATCAAGCAGCATCGGAGGAAGTGGCGGAAAGGGGGCGCATGGGAGTCATGGGGGCAATCTTATAAGCGGCGGATGCGGCAGTAGCAGAGCACACGGGCACAGGGTTGGAGAACACCTACCTTTTGCGTTGATGCTGGGTGGTCAGCAGCTTAGCCCCGTGATGAGGCCCTTCACCATCGGAGTTGGTGGAGACGACACTAAACTATAACTTTAATAGGTTGGTGTGCGGTGAAGGGCCATACCCGTGGCGGGTGACAGACCAGTGGGAAAGATGTCCCGTCATATAAATGCCCTTTTGTTGCATTCCGCAGAACTGTTAAAACCCCGCACCCACCATATTCCAAACCGCCCTGAAATCTCGTTCGCAATAGTGTTGGGTTTAAGCTAGGTTTTGGTTTTGATGTCCAGGGGGGAATTATAACCTTGTTAATGCCAGCAGCACTTGCCCGCCTTTGGGTGGCCCTGTTCCTCCGCTCGCCCTCCAGGTTCGCTTCATCGGCTTCAACCACGTGACCTCCAACGAGCTGCTCTCCTTTAACGGAGTATTCGTAGGGCTGCAGGTACGGGGGGATGCCTGGACAGAGCTGGAAAGCAGTAGCAGCAACAGCTGCTGCTACTGCTGCTGCTGCTGCTGCCACTGTTGCAGGATGAGGGGAGCCGGGAATGGTAGTTGATTGGTCGTGTCTGTGTGTGTTGTGTTTGGGGAGAAGGGTACAGATGTTACAGATATCCCGGTGTTTCCTGGGGGGAAGTTGGGCGGGGAGATGCTGGACTCTGCGGCAGCACGTGTGCCTGTGTTGTTGCCAGCATCTGAGCAATCGACGCTGCTCGCCTGTCACGCACGGGTCCCCTCGCTCCCTCTTCGCTCTCAGCCCAGTTAATTGCTGCCCCTGCCAGTTGTTCCTCATGCAGCTTCTTCATCTCCACAGTTGTGTCGTCATGCATCTCCATTTGGGCCACTGAAACCCTCCCCTGCCAACTCTTGTTTCTGAAATCCGGTCCCCGCTCATACCCGCGCGCTCATACCGCTGGCAGGTATGGGAGGCGATTGTGTTCCTGCGCGCCAAGTTGGGCTCCAAGCAGTTTGGTCAGCTGGTCTACCTGGCAGCCGTGTGCGCCGGGGCTGTGGGTGCAGCGGGCACTTCCATCCTGGTGCTGAGCGGCAAGCTGAACCCATGGACCGGACGGTGAGGATGAGGGGGATAAGGGAGGAGGGGAAGGGAGAAACTGGCCCATATCCAGAGCCGTCCATGGATTCGGGATAGGGGCTGGGCTGGCTGACTGGCTGGTTCGCGACCCTCCGGGTATTCGCGTTCGGGTCTCGTCGGGGTGCATTTGTCTTCTCCTTATCGTCACTGTCAGAGTGGGGTTGGGGTTGGGAGTGTGGTGATTTGCAAGTTCATAGGGAGTGGAGGTTGGTTGGGGGGATTGCAATGCGGTTAGGTTTATTGTCATTGATGCGTTGCACCATGGGGTTTGCTTTATGGAGGTGCGCGCGTGTAACCATGCGTGCGGTGACGGGTTGGAGATGGGAATATACGCAGTAAGTAATGGCGTTGCTGTTTGATGACCAACCGTTAACCCGCCTCCCCATACTGTCCCCGCCATACCCCGCACTCTCTCCCGCCCTATCGCGATACACAGCTTCTGGACGCTTCTGGATCCTACCTATGCCAAGAAGTTCATTCCCATCGTGGCCTCGGTTTCGGAGCATCAGCCCACCACCTGGGCCTCTTACATGTTTGACCTGCACATGCTGGTCTTTGCCGGCCCGGCGGGACTGTACTTCTGCTTCAAGCGCCCCACGGACGGCACTATTTTTCTCATCGTCTTTGCCCTCACCGCCATCTACTTCTCGGGTGGGTGGAAACGAAGAAAGGGGTGATTTTGATGCCGAGGTCTATTGCACCATTTCCCCTCCGTGATACTGGATCTCTGTCCCTCCTGTCTTGTTGACCGTGTCCTTCTCTCCACGCCGTGCCAGCTAGTTGCTCCTATTCAACCCCCACGTGCCTCGCATGTGCCATGCACTTCGTCCTGCTCTCGTCTGGCCGGCTGCTGCATCTGCCCTGTCGTGCCCCTTGCTTGCCCTTGAACGCGTTAAAATCCTTTCTATGCCTCTCGGCCGCTGCTCTCCTGCCTCTGTTTCACACACCAGGCATCATGGTCCGTCTGATGCTGGTGGCGGCTCCAGCATTCGTGCTTCTCTCCGCCATCGCCATCTCCAGCACGCTGCAGTCCGCAACTAAGGAGCTGCGTGCCGCCGCGCCGGCGGACGCCACCGCCGGCGGCCCCGCCGCCGCCACGGGCGACACCCCCAAGAAGCGCTCCTCATCAAAGTGAGTGGCTGAGGGAGAGAGGCGCAAAATTGGTGTAGCCACTGGTCCGAGCGTGCTCTGCCGCCCCTGGCTTGAAATGGGTCGTGCAAGGAGAGCCCGTCCCGTCCCGCCTCTTCATCTGCCATTGCTGCGCCCGTCCTGACGGTTTGCCTCCTCCGGCTCCTTAACAGATGCGCCCCCGCCCGTCCCGTGTTGGCATGCCTTCTTCTAACGCGTCCTATTTTTCACTTCCTGCTTCCCGCCCTCCTCTCACCTGGCCGCCCAGGCGCGCTGCCGCCGCCTCTGGTGAGGCCGCCTGGTCCACCGGCAGGGCCCCCAACCTGTGGATCCTGGCCCTCACCGCTCTGGCCATGTGGTCCTTCTCCAACCATTGCATCTGGGTCACCTCGGAGGCTTACTCCTCGCCGTCCATTGTACTCATCAGTGGCTGGGGCCCGCATCGCCACGTGCTCGATGATTTCCGAGAGGCATACTACTGGTGAGTGGTTAGATGGGGGTGGGTGGATGGAGGTGCGAGAGTGAGTGGTTGGCTGGCTGGGTGATGACGGGGTTAGGCGGATGGGTTAGGTGAGCGATCCGGCGTGGTGGAAGACCCGCCGGTGATGCTTGGCTCGGCTCATTTATGCGGTTTTTGTGTCAACAGGTGCTGCACTGCGCCGGGGCAGCACGTTCTGTAGCTTTTACTACACCCCGCTGCAACGCCACCCCCACGGCTGGGAGGTACTCGTGTGCTAATCATACCTTTCTTTTGTCGGGCCAGGCTGCGCCACAACACCGCCCCCGACGCCAAGGTCATGTCCTGGTGGGACTACGGCTACCAGATCACTGCCATGGGCAATCGCACCGTCATCGTGGACAACAACACCTGGAACAATACGCACATTGCGACAGTGGGTGCGTTGACGGGAAGGCGGAAGGGAGACGGAGGGTGGATAGGGGGGATTGGCCTAGACCGGTGGGATGCCTGCAGAGGAAATGATGATGGTAATGCTCAGTGATCGCACGGTGCTCCATGACATGTGTGGTGCCTGGAATGTTGTAGGCCCGTGTCATCACATCCGCCTCCTGTCACCTTTCCCGACAACCACTTCCACGACCTCCACCATCAACATCCCACGACACGTCCGCTGTACTCCCCGCCCACTTCCCCACCATCTCTTATGCAGTTTTTCCGTTCCGTTTTCCTCGACTCTAGCACCACACGCACCACCGCAGTTTGGTGTTTGCAATGCTGCGTGTACAGATCCTCCCAAGAGCCTGCCACTCGTCTCCGCGCTCTGCCTCAGGTCGCGCCATGGCCTCCAACGAGACGGAGGCGTACAAGATCATGCGGCAGCTGGATGTGGACTACGCTTTGGTCATCTTTGGCGGCATGAGCGGTTATTCCTCCGACGACATCAACAAGTTCCTGTGGATGGTGCGAATCGGAGGAGGCGTGTTCCCGGTCATCAAGGAGTCTGACTACCTGGCCAATGTGAGAGCAGGATGGGCGACAGGGTGGGCCGCTGTAGGGTTTGTTGCTTGCCAGCTTACTTCTGCTATATTGCTTTCGCCTCTGTTCTCGCCTCTCGAGCTGCTGGGTGCTGTGGCTGATGGGGCAGTTGCCCGACGCTGTGTTCCAGGTTGCTGGCTGGCTAAGGCTGGTGCTGGGTGCTAGAGGCTTTTTAATTCTGGAGCATTTTCCATGAGGGTTGTAGTGTGCACAGCAGTCCGTGCGGATTGTGACGGGTAATTCTTGATGGCACCTCAACTGGCTATACTGTACATGCGTACACAATAGCGGAAGGAGGACTTGGGAGGGGAAAGATGTCCGCAGGTAGCAGCTTTTACCGGGGTTATGAATGGTAAGACAAGACTTCCGTGTGATTCGGTGTTCTGGTCCGTTGGCACCGCGCTTCACGCGCACGCGTACGGGTGACTCACATGGGGTTCACGGGGAGTGTTGGAAAGTGACCGATACTCACATTCAAGCGGAGTATGAGGGCCGTAATAGGACCGGCGGGGTCTGGCGCTTTGTTAATTCTAACAGTATGCTGTCATGCTAGATGCCCTATTCCCTTCTCCTCCATGCGCCTGTGTCTACCTTGGAGACGGAATGGAGCACAACGACACCACCCTCTCCATTTACTTCGTTAAGCTTCCTTCCCATTCACCCCGGTTGCCCTGCGCACCTCACCGAACCTGTAGGGCGACTACACCGTGAGCAGCCGTGGCACGCAGACCATGCTCAATAGCCTCATGTATAAACTGTCATACTATGATTTTGGCAACATAATGACGGAGCAAGGCAAGGGCACCGGGTACGACCGAGTGCGTAACTATGAGATCGGCAACAAGGACGTCAAGCTTGACCACCTGTACGAGGTACGGCTGTGACGTTAATCTGGGCTTTGCGCTATCGTGGTTTTTGTCCTGCACCCAGGAAAATGGTTCAGCACTTCTGGTTCTCTTTTGCCAATCCTTCCGCGGATGGAACTGCCTTTGCTCCAGATCACCACGTTTGACGCCACAACTTGCTTTTTGGCCTCTTTGTGCGCATCTCCCTCGTGTTGTGTTTTGCCGGTAGGCTTTCACCTCGGAGCACTGGATCGTGCGCATCTATCGCGTTAAGGATCTCGAAAACCGCTTCTAATCTGCTGCGACGTTGGCGGCGACGCACAGGATCATAGTGAGGAGGTATCGCGGGGGGCCACGTCCCAGCTTTATGTGCGCTAGCTGCCCCCCTTGCTAGACCCCTCGACCATCAGCTTACTAGCCGGGTTGTAAAAGCGCCCCGTTTACAGGTGTCAATGCGGCAAGGCCAGCCGTGTCGGGGTCTAGGGGTAGTAGCCTTATGATGTGGTCATCTACAGAATAATGCTGGACAATGCAGAGTAATGCTGAATTTGCGCTATGCCCAGCCATTTGCTTCTCCAATGCAAATGTCGCAGAGCTGAGAATTTTGGGCGCCGTGCTGTCTACAGCATGTTTTGAGGCTGTGCTCCTGGGAACCAGGCAAGACCGTCCTTGGTGTGCAGTGAATTGTTGTGGTGCTGCTGCACTCAGGTCGCGTCAGGAGGTCTGTTGGGCGACGGGTTGTGTGCGGAAGCATACCGGTTGTGTGTGTCATGCTGCGATTTGCGCTTAAGCATGATGACGATGTGGAAGGCCATCGCGTGTATGCGTGAACACGAAAGGAGGACGTCTTATAAACGATGCCATATACATTGCGTGCGCATGTTGCAAGTGACATGGAACGGTCGACTGGGAAGTTTGGAAAGTACTCGGCAACTCGTTCGCCCAAGTTTGCGCGGTCATGCTCTGTACAAGCTGCAGTCGTTTTGGTGGGACTCCCAAGCCAATACGGCGTGTAAATTGCCACACACTTACACGGCGCATCCAAGCTTGGAATGTCCTATGCACACTACGGATTTGCACACTGGCGACACGAAAAAGGGCAATAACCCACACTGCTGGCTCCACTGGTGTCGCGCACGATGCACATACATGCATTGGCACGCCATATTCTTACGGTACTCCTTAATTAGAATTACAGGCACTGCATAAATTTCCCAACGCTAGAGAACGGACAGGACTTTACTTGCAGCCCCCACCCGCAAAAAAGGGGCATTGCGACCTGGAAGAGGGCGCATCCGCTGCATTTACCTGACTTGGCTACTTCCTTAAAAAAAAGGGCCACCTCTTAAGGAGGTTAGTTCTGCATTTTGTATGGAAACGCTTGTGCTGCGACATTCGGACTTGGGAAGGGGACACACACCGCTATTACGTGGACCAGCCTTCCCCGGAGACCATGGCGTTATATTTCTGAGCCTGGAAGGTTGTCAGCACCTGACCACGGGGACGCGGGGCCTACTGCGGCGCACTGGCTCACCGCAGCCACTATTGCTAAAAAAACACAAAGCATGTCGTGCACACCCCGAGGGGAGTGGACTGTATAGGGCAGTCACGCAAGAAAGTTAATAAGCTGGTTACATCATGATTACAGCGGTAGTTTCAACCCAGCGTCGAATGTACCGTTTAATAATTTCCCTTGGGAAGAAAACGGTAGTGACCCGGACCCCACCACAGCCATACACACCCTATTCAACACCTCACCCAGCCATGTAAACCACAAACGAAGCCACAAGTTCAAGCTGCAACCCTCCACTTAGCTGACAGGAGCCCCTGGGATGAAGCGAACACATTGAATCATCTGTCTGCCATGTCGGCATGGTCGCCCAGTATGAGCGAAAAATTGCCAATAATCCACACCCTGAGCCCACCTTGTTAGCACTTTGATTACACCACGCATAGAACAAGTCTCCAGCTAGATGTTTGGAACGGCTGGAATGTCCAGGTTCAATTGCGGCTGCCTTTTACTCTTTCTGCTTCGGCGCCGCCACGTCCTCGGAGCGTACACCAACCACCTCCTTCAACCTTGCAGACTTGCCGATGCGCTCCCGCAAGTAGAAGAGCTTAGCGCGGCGCACGCGACCGCGGCGCACAAACTCGATTTTCTGGACTGCAGGTGAATGAACCGGCATGACAAGCTCCACACCAACGCCTTGGAAGACACGGCGAAAGGTCAAGGTCTTGCTGCTGGCGCTCCCATGCTCGGCGATGATAAGACCGTCCAGGGTCTGAGTTCGCGTCTTGCCATTGCCTTCTTGGACTGCTAGGCCAACCTTAACGCTATCTCCAACAGTTACCGAAGGAAGATCCTTTTTTAGTTGGGACCTGGACAGCTCCTGCGTCAGGGTGTGCAGGCTAAGCTTGGCCTGCACAGCCACCGTGCGCCTCCCAGCCGTGAAGGGCCGAACAACTGGACGTGATGCGAGCATCCTTCTACGTGGCAGTGTTGTCAATACAATGACAAATGTTGTTCTGATAATTCATCAATACCAAGCAACTTGCAAATGTACGGCGGGCCCGCAACCTCAAGTAAACAAGAATGTAGAATCCAGTGCTATCCCTTCCTAACTTCCAGCCCCTTATTGCATCCCTCGCGTAGACGTCTGCGGAATTGTTTTTGAAAGGGAAGGCTCCATCTTTGGGTTTGTGCAATTGCTTACTGCTCATCAGCGAAAAAAGGATTAGTTCTTTGCTGCACTCGTTGAAGCGCGCTAAACCCTAAGAACATAAATTTACACAAATGCTGCAAATCTTGGACGAGACAAACGCGAATGCTGCTCAGGCTGTGCTGATTAATGCTTTGCATGGCTTACGCGAGGCATTCCAAAGGCCCTGTGATAAGCAAACGCTTGCTTGTGTAAGGATGTCCCTATTGGTTCTTTCGGGTCTTCGTCACCTCGTTTTTCCATACAGAAAGTCCTTGGGACTGCGAGGACAGCGAAGAAGGTGAACTCAATCGTTCTGCTCCTTCAATTCTCATGGTTTTCTAATGATGCTCTGGCCAATGGCGCGCATATTTGCACGACATTGGGACAAGAGTTTGTCGCTGTAGGCCCAGAGCTAACTACGCCGATGTGCCTTGCCATACGGCACAGCTATGGCAGCGAAGAAACGTATCCCTAGTCTGATCCTGCAGCATCGGCGCTACCATCACAAGCAGCAGCTGGTAAGGAACGGTTCATAGACCCGGCCCTCCGGATCAACCAGAGGCGCCCTTTGAGCATACAAAGACGCCGGTCTAGCACCCGCAAAAGCTGCACTGGTAGTCACTACACGGGGACTGCAGCGCTCTGTAGCCCTCCCCGCAACATCCTGCAGGGATGCATTTCAGCATTTATAAAGACTTCGGTTGAACTGTGAAGTGTAGACTTCGATGCGTGTCAGAAGATGTTTCTTGGTATTTTGTTCCGTTTTGTTCCGGTTTCGGAACGTATATATATTTTACAATAAACGATTTTGACGTGCTTCGGCACAAATGTTAAAATTGGAAAAATACAGAGAAGATTAGCATGGCCCCTGCGCAAGGATGACACGCACAAATCGAGAAATGGTTCCAAATTTTTTGTCAAAATCGCCGGTTCGAACCCTTACGAACGCTTAGTACACATCCACTCATTTTTTTGTTTTTATTCCACATTATCATTTCTGTATATTCTGTATATTTATCTTATTCCGGATATCTCTCATCTCTTATTATAGGCACTTTCCCGGCCTCCCTTTTTGCGCGCCAAACAGGCCAAGCCGGTGACATCCACCGAAACGTCATCAATCCACACACAGGTCCCTTGACGAATTTCGGTGCGACCGCAAGGAAATCCAAAACACGCGACAGCATTCGCCCTTTATCCCGCAGAGGCTGGGGTCATATCTGAAGCGATGAGAGGCGTCCTACGTCCCACACGGCGGCGGCAGCCTATACACCACCTGGTTGGCCCCGAGGAACTGCAGCCGGGCCAGCCCCACCTCCAGGCCCCCGCCTCCTGAGCCGCTCCCCTGGAGCATCACAGGCTGTCCCGCGGCGGCAGCGCCGCGGACACTAGGACCCCAGTCCGCGTCTTGGTCCACGTTGCCCTTGGGACTCTGCAGGGCCGGGGGGTCCGCGGCCTCCGAAGCGTCACCGATGCCGCCATTGGGCGTGTCTCTGGCCAAATCAAACCGCGGCGTTGTCTCCGCCGTCCGCCATTTCACCGCTTGAGCCTCCAGCCAGTGAAGCGTCGTCGCCACGCTGCTAAATGGCAGCGGCTGTGCAGCAGTAGCGCCAGCAGCCGCTGCCCGTAGTGGGTCGCCAGGGTCGATGTCGCTCATAGCAGCAGCAGCAGCAGCAGCAGCGGCGGTGGCACCGTCAAAATTTGGATCCACTTCCAACTCCGAACCTTTTGCGTCCGAATCTGGATCCGTGTCGGAACCGGAGTCCGGGGCAGGTTCGGGCGGGCCTTGGCTCTCCCGTTTGTCCTCCTCCTGCTGCTGCTGCTGCTGCTGCTTCGCAGCTGAAAGCCTCCAGAGCTGTAGCCAGAACCCCTGGCTCCGCCGCCACTGGGAAAGGAAACCGCCGCCGCTACAGCCGCCGCCGCCATCGATATCATCATCGGCGCCATAGCCGCCGCTGGCGGGGCCACCTCCGCCGCCACCCTCACTGCGTTCGTTGCCGCTGCTGCCAACGTTGCCAGCACTGTCACACCTGCCGTACAGCTGTGCCTGTTGTAGCAGGTAGGCGATAAGCTGGGGATAGGTCTCAACTGGTGAAGAGAGGGAAGAGGGGGAAATGGAGGCGGCGTCCGCTTCCGAACGTATCCCTGGTGGCGGCTCCGCCACCACTGCCGGCCCCGCCGCCGCCGTTGCCTCGGGCAGTGGCTGTGGCAGCAGAAGTGGCTGCTGGCACAGCGGCAGCAGCAGGCGGCGGTGCGGGAAGCGGCGCGGGAAGACGCAGCAAGGGACGAGCGCGAAGGGCTTGCCGTACTCGAGCGCGAAGTCCAGAATGGCATCTGTGGCTTGATCCGGATGAAGTCCCACAACCTGCATCACATCACATCACATCACATCACATCACATCACATCACATCACATCACATCACATCACATCACATCACATCACACAAATCCCCCCCCGATGGAAGGGCCCTTGTAATGAGGGAGATGACGTGCTGGAGGGGAAATGGAATAACGAAATATGAAAATACGAAGGAAGGAAAGAAGGAAGGAACGAGGGATAATGCATGTGGATGGGTGGGTTCCGGAAAGGGTTCGAAAGGGTTCGGAAACACCGAGACGGAACGAGATCCGTTCAAATCGAAATCCATCCCCCCTCCTAGGGGTTTGGGGGCAATAAACGATGGAAGCAAAGGACCACCCAGTCTGTATGAGGGGGAGGGAGGGACGGAACCACGAACAAGAGAAGCTGATGCTGAAGGGTTGGGAGGGGGGGCGGGAGGGAGGGATGGAGGGAGGAAGGAAGAGGGAGGGGTGAGGAGGGATCTTGACCGGAGGGGTGCGAACGGTGGGGTTGTGGGAGAGAGGGGCAGTAGAGAAGCGAACAGGAGCCAGTGATCCCGTCGTTTCCAACCCGCACATTGTCGCAGTGAGCCGGTTCTTACTACCACCACCAGCACCAGCAGTACTAGCACCACACAAAACACCAAACCGCTTCCCCGGCTGACTCACCATTGAGCAATTTCTCAACAGCTCAGCTACCGCACCATCGCCATCGCCATCACCATCACCATAACCATCAGCAGCAGCAGCAGCGTCAGAAGCACTACCACAGCCGCTAAGGCCACCGCCACCGGCTAAGGCTGGTCGGCGCCAAAGCCGCGGCTCGAACCGCCGACGCAGCTGGGGTAGCGTCAGCCCGCCTCTCTCCGTCGCCGCCCCCGCCGCCTCCGCCGCCCCCGCCGCCTCCTTAATCTCCCTGAGTTGCCGTCTTGACAGTTTTGCTGGTCGGGGCTCTATCAGCCAGGTTGTGACGCCGTGGCGAATCAGCAGATAGAAGGTCAGAGAGCCGCGGCCACCTAGGGGGGGAGGGGGGGAGTTGATGAAGTTTGGATGAAAGAATACTAGATACATATAATCGCGAGTAAAAACATGCCTGATCTGGTGACAACTTTGTGTATATGAAGGTTCTGAGTTCGATCCCCGGTTAGACTCTGCCGTTGTTCGGGAGGTCTACATATGGATTCAAACATATTAGGAAATGACGTAAACAGGAAAGAGCAGTTGACGGTAGTGAAACGGAGGGAAAGAGGTGGAGAGGGGGAAACATGTACGACGTCATGACGCCCTCACCCGCAACGTCGAGTACTCCAGTGCCCGAGTTCAGAAAGTCCCTGCCGTACGTCTGTACGAGCCAGTCGCAGAACACGGCGGCCCGGCGGCGCTTGGCGGCGTCACCCACATCGTGTACGAACCCCTGCTCTGCCGCGGCGGCAAGCCGTTGGGCGCGTCTGAGGGCCCCTCCCGGATGATGAACGATATGATGTGTGTTATAGAAAGAACTCTGGGCGTTTAAACTGGAACAGGCAAGCGGGCAGGCGGTGTGTGTGTATATATGTGTGGTATGTGTGTTGTCTCGCGCCCCCGTCTGTGCGGCGGCTCCCCCTCCCTCCGAGGGCCCCCCGAACCCCGTCATGTCGCGTACATCATGTGCAAACAGCCGCACCCACCGCAACAATCAGCCTTTTATCTGACCTGGACTTGGCGTACAGTTGTTGCACGCCTGCCGCACCGCCGCGCTGCGGCGGGTGGTCGTACCGACACGCTCCGGCGCCGCCGCCCTTCGGGCAGCGCCCCGTTGCTGCCCAATACTTGCACACCAGCGGGCTGCCGTTGCCGTTGCCGCCGGTGGCGGTGGCGGCCGCAAGAGCCCTAGCGGCTCCGTCGCGGCTATCGCCGCCATTTTCCGATACAGCGACCCCGGGTGTTACAGCTGCAGCAGCGGTACGGCCCCAAGTGCCGCCGCCGTGATTACCCCTTGATCCTGTGGTACGACCTTCAACCTCATACCCAACACCCGTTGCCGTACATATGCTTACGCCGCGGCCGCCAGCGTCAGCGATTCCGTCTGCTGCAGCATCACCGCCGGCCTTCTCGTCGCTACTCTCGCCGCCGTTTGCTTGTTCTCTATCGCTGGTGTTGCAGCTGTCAGCCCCCCCGACGGCCGTGGCGGTGGTGGCGACGGCGCCGCCACCGCCGCCAGTCCCCAAGTCCGCTACCGCCCCCCGGCACCGTCCGCCATTTCCGCTGTCTTCCCCGCGTGCGAGGTGGCTGACACCACGTCGATGCGGTACGAACGGCTGCTGCGGTACGAACGGTGTGGCGGAATGAAGGGCGCGCCAGCTAACCACCACAACTAAGCTCCGAACGATAAAAGTACGGACGATGGCGGTGGCGGCGCCGCCGCCGCCGTTACTGTCACCCCTGCATTCATAGCGGCCGACGGCTCGAACCGTGTCTCCCAGCCTGCGACGGTGTACAAAGCGCTCTGATTGGGGGGAAGGGAAGGGGGGAAGAGAGAGAGAGATGCCCCCCGGGTTGTCCTGCAGACATTCGGCCACAGACTGACCCACAGACAGACTCTACAGACAGACTGACAAGGCTGTAAGCCCCTCCTAGGCGTGGAGGGAGACGCAGCTTTGCGTGCTAAAGCAAGCCGCTGCAAAGCCAGCTACCGCAGTCCCCCTCTCACCTCGGCGCCGCGAGAATCTTTCCGGTTCCCCTCCCCCCATCCTCCCCTCCTCCCCCCCCTCCCTTCAAGAATGCCTACTGGTCAGTTCTGCTTCATGTACATTCTTTCCTTGGCAGCAGCTTCAATCGTTCGAGGTTCGTCTTTCCCCCTCCTCCCCTTCCTCCCCTCCTCCCTCCCCCTCCTCCTCCCCTCCTCCCCCCTTAACCCACTTGATAGTGTCACGAATAGATCGAACACTCTGCGGACTTAGCTGCTCGCCCTTCGACAGCATGAGAGGCGGCGGCAGTGGTGGTGATGGTGGTAGTGGTGGAGGGAGGCGCGGAGGGAGGCGTTCTCTTGGTTTGGAATTTTGGGGCTTTGGGATTCGCAGGCTAGGGCATAGGGACATAACTGCAGTAGCAGTTCATGTTTACAACGCGTAAGACGAAAGGCAATGGCGGGCTGGCTGGTGCCGGATCGGTGGCGGCAGGGGACCCGGCCAGGTTTGGGGCCCAGCAGCAGCCCGCCGCCAGGTACAGGGGCAAAGAAGGGGGCCAAGGTGCGCTTCGGATTTGCATTGCCGTACAGATGACTTACATGCGTTCCGCGAACGACAAACGAAACAAGGGAAGCCGTCCTGGCGGTTGGGTTGGTTTGCCATTCGCAACCAACTAACCACCCGAACTTTGAGAATTAATATTTAGCTTTTATGGCTGGCATGAGTTCTTGTGGGCTACACCACTGAGCACTGAGCAGTTGGGAGGGGTGAGGCCAGATGGAGCGTCGGAGATTGAGGTTGAGGCTGAGGCTGAGTTTTATCGAGAGCTCTCGCACAACGGCCGTACAACACCACTCAGCGCCGGACTCTTTTGGAGCTCACCGCCTTCACTAGCAGCTCCACCCAACAGAGCCTCCCTTCGTCGTTAGCAGAGAGCTTCAGGTCGAAGAACACCTGCCACGTCGTCGCCGTCAGCATTCCCATGCAAATTCTGTTCAAGCTGCTGCGACAGCTGAGACGCGAACTCAAGGACAGATGGTATTTGGAGTCTAAGCTTCTTGAGGTATACCTACCAGACGCTTGCTTAGGGGCCTCCGAAAGGTCACCTGCCCGCAGAGTTCCGTTTCGTCAAATCCTGCCTCCATATCGACCTGATCATGTTCCTCACAGATGCGCTCCTGAAAAGTGCGCATCTTGCATTTTCTACCTATTCCCTGGAAATGAGAGGTCGAGGCACTCGACTCGAGGGAAATGTAGCCTTTCGGTTAATGTCGTTGAGACCTTCTTTATCGGCATTCGCGTGAATCGTGCGGCTGCCGACAACCCGGCAATCGACGAGAGTGAGCCTCTGAGGGGAAGAAGAAAGCATCAACAAAAAATATTTGTACTTTATTCCCAGTCCATGGCCTGCAGATCAAGGATCGCCTTGTACTGACTAGGTGCAGGCGAGGAACTAGTGCATGTAGGAGCGAGAGGTCGACTAGCTGCTAACTCCCCCTCAGCAGCAGCTTGATCGGGGCGTCGCCCTGAAGCAAACAGGAACACGGGAGAACCTGTTCCGTACCATAAAACCTGCAGAATGGAACTACATCGCCCGCAATTACCACGCCTGAAGCGATCCCGGGTCCAAAACGTTCAGCTGCTGACTCTTTTCCAGTTAGTGTTATTCCACCGATAACCACCGATACGCTTGCAGAGGGAGGGGATCAGGGTGGAGATGGCGCCGATGGCGGCAGCTTTGCAAAGTACTGATGTGTACAGGCATCTGTACAATGGCTGCACTGCCTCGTTGCTGTTGCCAGAGCCGCGAAACCTAAGTACCAGCATCTATAATCCGTGGCATTGACCAAAGAAAGGACCACGCATGCCAGCGATGCTCTATCCTTACCGTGACCTCGTCACCCCTGCGGCAATATGCTGGTAGCAAAAGCTGGCCCCAAGCATTAGCAGCTAGGATAGCGATGGCTCCGTGTTTGCCGTACAAACAGTAGGGTAATTACCTCTTGTGTACTGCATTACCTCCGTTTCCTTGCGGCCACTTGGTTACCTCGTGGTTGAGGTAAACCTCAACATCCCGCCCATATCTCGCCGGGGGACTGGCAGACACGGTTTCGTGGTGGGCAGGCTGGGTGTGTTGGAGTGAGAGGGGGGTGGCAACACGGCTTCATGGCGGGCGGGTTGCGCCTTCACGGGGTATTGAAGTGTAAGGAGATTAGAGCGCCCAGACAAGCGTTAAATTACACGCGGGCGCCCAGTCACGGTTTCCTTGTTACCAGTAAGTGCTTATAACTAACGCAAGGAGCACATGCTACGATAGCTCCGCAAAATCACTCTCGGAAGTCGAAGACATAGCCGGAGGAGGAAATTTGCGCACAACACCAAGCAACACAACGTACTGCACTGGCGCGTACATGAACACCAAGCACACGAAAAGCAGGAGAGGTCCTCCTGAGCCTGTTGGCCCCGTACGGCTGCACTGATGGTGAGGCTGACAAAGGCGACCGGGCGGCAGCTGCAACTGCCTTTACCACCACCACCATCATCGTGGTACGGGAGGTCATTTTTGTGGCACTGGAAGTGTTTGATGGCATCGAGCAGGCGGTAATGCATGCGCTTCCACAACGAGCATACCCACAACTGCCGTTTTAGTGCCATATTATTGTCGCCCATCTTGTCCTGTGTGCGATTATCCCTGCAACCACAGATGTGTGGTTCCTTGTGTTGGCCGTGTTGGCCGCACCCCCCCCTGGGCCGTGCCCCATGGGTTCCTCCGCTTTCTGCTGTCGCACCGCAACGGCCACCCCAGCCGCTACCTTTCGGCGCTGCCACTGTCGTGGAGGCGTTCAACACCGCCAGCATGGCGTCATAGCTTCTCAACTCCGGATCCGCGAACCGTTAACTCGAACTCCGACTCTGCCTTCAATCCGAACACCACGGCCCCCTTCCCACCGGCGTCATGCATCTACTGTGCGGATTGGGGATATCTACCAGACACCGTATCGGATAAACGATCCTGATGTGCGACCATAGAGGGTTTGTTGCACGACAAACCACATATGCCAAAAAGAGGTGTTGACAAACACCGGGTGCCGCATTACGGTGATGGATAGTGGTTCCAATAAACCAGCAGGCAGGGAGGTCTACAAGGCAACACTGTACATTGCGCTGCCTTGCCCTGGCAGGTACATGAACATGCAATCCATATGCATACCCCATACAGGCAGGCGGCTGGCAGAGGTTAAGGCCTGACTTCTGCTCCCGGAGTGTCCGGGTTCAAATTCGCCTGCCGGCTCCTCGGGTGTTTGAGGAGTGTTGAAATGGGAGGTGGCCCCCATCTAGTGGACGGTGTAGGACATGATAATATCAACTTGCGAGCTGAGCAGGAGCTAAGTTGAGGCGCCGGTGATCCGCTAGATTTGGTTGGATGCTGGTTGTGAGTTGCTGAACCCAACGAATACATTCTGAAATCGGATGGGGTGAATGGATTAGGGTGCCCCTCTCGCAGAGGAGAGTAGGGACTGCCTCGGGAAAGGGGGCCGCTGGTGAAGCTTAACCACCCTGTAACAACATCATACCCTTATGTACATGCACGTATATGGCGTTTGTTTGGGATGGCTCAAGCGCGCACGGCGTCTGTTGGGAGGGTGCAGGCTTGCACAGCGTCTGTTTGGGGAAGCTCAGGCGCGCACAGCATCTGTTCTGATTCCGGTATGGCATTTTGCATCATTATGCATCATCGTTATTGCGTTACAGGTCTTTGCATATGCGTGTTCGGCGGGATGGGGGATGAGACGGGTCGTTTTTATGGAGGGAGCGGAGACAGAGATGTTGTGTATGTATGGCTTGTGCCTAAACCTCACTTTGCCTTTACCCGTTGCATGTCTCCCTCGAGCTTCTTGGCGGGGTGCGTTTCCGCAGGGCACAGGCTGCGAGGTGGCGATGACACGGAGGATAGGGCTGGAACTTAGCCATGTGGTAACCAGTTGCTCCCGGTGGGTTGAAGTCGATGGATCCCCGAGTCCAGGAAAGGAGGCGGTGAAACGAAGCCCGTGGTGCAGGGCGAGGGAGGGAAGAGCCTAATATGCGGAGGGCGAGAAGGCGGAGGAATAATTTTATGCTGCAGGGGGAGACAGCTGTCTGTTGTGATGGCATGAAGAAATGGTTGGAAAGTCGCACATGTTCCTTACATGCCTCGTGGCGGCCATGTGGGTTCGAATTCCCACATTTAAGTCCTATCGCCTATCTTTCGGACAGTGCGCGGTTTTGGTGATCTGGAACTGGGTCGCACGGGGCTCCGGAGCCCTTGGAATTTCTGTCCTGGTTGATGAGTGAAACGTACCGCATTGTGAGCTGAATGTGAAGGTGGTGGTAGGCGTGGTACATCTTTCGTACGGCAGGTGGGTTGTTACAATCGAAAACGGTTGATGAGTATGGTAGCGATGCACGGCATGCCATACATCTTATCGATGGCGAACGTATTCGTACATGTTTGTGTGCACTACCACTAAACCGGCCGTGCGAGCCGCCAACAGTCCACCACTCTACAAGCACCATCAAGGGGAAAACTGCCCCAACACAGCTCAGGAGATCAGCTTACCAAGTGCTTAACATTGCTACTTCCTAAGCGATTTTGTTTTTCTAAGCCACGTAAGAGGATCAATCGTTGCGACTCCGGTACAATCAAGCGATGTTGGTTGTTGTTGTTTGTTTCCCTCCGAAACGTAAATCCATACCAGAAGCATCCAGGAACAAGGCATCGTTGCCTAAACAGGAGCTCTCCTATCATCAGCCGTCGCCGCCATCCCTTTCGGCATGCTGGCGGCGAGCCACCGACGGGCGCGATCGTGTGCAGATTCGAGCCCGTCCCCTAGCGCCCCTAACACTGCAATCTCTTCTACCAGGTTAACCGTCACGGGACTCAAAAGGTGGCCCGCACCCGCTGCTGTTGTAGCTGCTTTTACTGCTGCCGTTGCTGTAGGTCTTGATGCCGCTGTTCTTGTCGTTGTTACCTCTGCTGTTGGTGCTCTTCCTGGGCAGCCAACCCCTCTGTGGTCTTTTGCTGCCGTTCCTGTTCGTGGATGACCCGCAAGTCCGCACGATGCCTCCTGCCCCGCATCCACGCACGCACAGTAAGAGGGACGTGCCATTGCCAACGCGACAGGCGTCGATGGTGCAAGCGCCGCCATCGGCGGTAGGGCCCGCAACGGTGCAGCTAACGGCATCGCCATTACTGCTGCAGCCGCCGCCAATGGTTGTGGCTGCTCAGCACTCCTGCCCAGCGTTTTCCCCTCGAAAAGTGTTGTCGCCGATGGCGCTGCAGTCCACATCAAAGGTGGCTCTAAAACCAGGCTTCCGTTGTGCTTTACGCCATTATACTGTAACAACACCCCGTCATACTGCTGCTGCTGCCGTGAAGCAGAGCCGACATGCCATGGTGCGTGACAATTAGGCCTAACAATGTTATTTTGCGTTAGTTGGTACGGCCCCGCTGTGTAGGGCCCGATACTGCCATCCAGGCTGCTATTGCCGTTATTGCAGCCGCAGTGTGCGCCGGGCTGTAGCAGGTTTTGCACCTGTATCGGCGGTTGCCGGCGCGCTATAGAATGATGTTGACGTCCATGTCGTTCTGCATAGTAACGGCTGCCGGCGTCGCTGTCATGTCCAGCACCGTAGGACCCAGGCCGGCGCCAGGCGCCCTCTTCCTGCTGCGGCAGCAGGCTATGCCGGGGTACAGTAGGCTGCTTTGGCGGCATCTGGCTCCCATTAGTAGGGGATGCAGCAGGAGATGCACAGCGCGAGAAGCCTCGGTGGTGGGAAGGGAACGTATGCCAAGGGCTGAGTGCACGGGTTGCGGAAGCCCCTGCCGTGAACGCGCGGCTGCTGCTGGTGTGGCTGATGACCCTAGAGTTATCATGACAACGAATGCAGAGCCCCATTCCTGCCGCAGCCACGGCCCCAGCAGCCACGGTGGCATCCGCTGCGCGGCCTTCATCTTCGATCTGCACAGCCGTCACCTTTGCCCATTCAGATATCTCCTGGTCGTGCTGCTGTTTCCGCTGCTGTTTGCGTTGCCGCCTCTGCCATCGCCGCTGTGGTCCGGAGGCCTGTTGTTGATTCAGCAGCTCCCGAGGCAGTTCCCGCTGCCGCTGCTCTTGCTGCTGAGGATGCAAATTCACAGATTGCGGTGACTTACGCAGCAGTGGGAAGAAAGGGCTTGGGAGGAGGTGCTGCGGGAACTCCGACACCATTAGCAGTGCCGCCGCCGCAGCCAGGGTAAGGCATAAGCCCCAGATTATATCGTCGTTGTCCCCAGAGCGGCCACCATCGCCCCCGCTAGCTCCAATGCCGTTCCACCCGCCGCCGCCGCCGCCGCCGCTGCTAAACCCGCCACTTCTGCTACCGTCTCCATGACGGACACTGCCACCAACAGAATTGCCACGCACTCTACTATCACGGCTGCTGCCCTCGTAGCGACTGGCATCGCTGCCACATATGTCTGCATGCAATCCACCGCAGCCGTCGTCTTTCGAACGTCCTCCACTGCAGCTAATAGTCTCATTGCGCCTGAACCCATCGCATCGGCTGTCGCCCTTGCGGTATCCAACAACACGATCCTCACTGTTAATGCCGTCGTTCTCCACGCGAACTGCACGGTCGTTAACGCGCTCCTCGCCGTCGCCGACTCCTCCGCTGCTACCGCCATCACACCAGCTCCCTACGCCATTGCCAGGACTGCTAAGGCGACCCCCATGCCATACCGCCACTCTGTCATGACTGCCCTCCTCCCCACCTCTGCTTTCACTGTCTCCGATGCTTCTGTTTACAATCCATGCGTCGGCGTTGGCGGGAGCTCCGAAACCCTCATCGTGGATTTTCACTTTGGCTTCGTCGTCATTGCTGCTTCGACCAGTGCTACGTGCCCTGCCGCTGCTGCTATCGATAATGGTGTTGCTGCTGCTATCGCTGTAGGTGTTAATGGTGCTACCGGTGCTGGTTCCCCTGCCACTGCTGCTACCGGCGCGATGATTGCTACTAACAGTGCTGTTGCTGCGCCTGCTACCCGTGTCGGTGTTGCCGTTATTACTACCGCTGCCAATCCAGCTAGTGCTCACACCAGCGGCTGACAGGACCACAACAGCCTTCACCCCAGGTTCTTTTGTGATTATGTGAGGTAACCCGTGCACCTGGGAGTTGTAGCCAGCCGCAGCATCAGTGGCACCAGCGCTGATATGAGCAGCGCTAACATATTTCCTGGATTTGCACGGGGCCTGCACAACGGAACCAGCATAATTGGACTTGATTTCCCGCGTTCATCAGTTGTGGCATCTGACGCTGTCGGCGAAGAGGGAGAAAGCGCTGCAGCAGTTATACAGGTTTATAGCCTGTGCCACAGTGCAAGTGTGCAGTGCAAAATGATCTCGTTTTGCCTCGTTCACTTACCCGCCACGCGCCGCTACGGGAGCTGAACCACCACCCCCTCCATATGCCGCTACCGAGACAGAGCTACGTGAGCCCCAAGGTCTCTAGAGCTCCCACCTGGGGTTGCGCTCCAAGCATGGAGAGCATGCTGCCCAAGACCAAAGTGCTGGTGACCACGGCAGTATCATGGGCTTGTACCAAGAGCTCACCCGGCAGGCCAACCCCGGCAATAACCCCCCTTGAAACTGCTGGGCGGGTCCTGAAACCAGGTTCTATCATGCCAAACCTGTCGACGTTCTGTAGCGGTCTCAGGCTGTGTGCATCTGCAGTCACCATGTGCTGCCGGCTTGACCGTCTTGGCTGCCGCGGTAGAGCCTAGTAAAAGCAGGTACGCGACAGGCTTTTACAGCAAGGATAGGACGTAGAAGTACACCTGCTTTTCTGATAAGGGGTTGCCAGGTCCCGTGTATACCTGCGCGTTGGCCTCGGGAAAACTCCGCACATTGCGTGAAGGCCGAATTGATGAAAAGCAAATGAGCGGCCTAGAGATGTGAGGGAATTCGACAGTATTACAAGCAAAGTTTCAAATGAATTTCAAACTCTCATGTTAGCAGACCCTGTCTTAAGAAACTTAAGGAGCACCAACGACAAATAGAAAAAGGTTTGTGATTACTTACTTGATGCAGCCAGCATTTACAGATAGCCAGATCGCAGAAACAACAGTCGCTGTCGGCATTCTAACCGTGTCGATCACATCTCCGGCGCTGAGACAACCTTGCCGCCCAGAGTCATCCCTCCCAGTGACAGCTACAGTATCGCGAGATGAATATAAAACCAGCGCAAGAATAGCCCAGCTTAGGCCCACATCATTCAATATTGCGTCGGCGCCCGTCGCTTCACGCAAGACGCTGTGCAAAAACATAAACTTATCAAAAAGCCAGCGTTTAACTTGCCCAAGAGACAAGACCTGCGGCTCCTTCTTTCCCGCATCCACGTGACACCGGCTAACCGGCAATAGCCATCGCCGTACCGGGCCTTCGTTATCCGCTCTGGACAGAAAGCTTAAACTGTGTTTGCTCATTAGTACATGTCCATCGACATGTCCTTCTGTAGGTTGACCGGTATAGTGGCTCGCCGTTGCGCAGGGTTGCACTAACGTGGTGTCAATGCCGTGATGCTGATAACACGAATGCTGGTAACACGAAAACCTCATGGAGCCAAAATGCACGCCACTGGTGTGTTGCTCACTGCCTTTGTTTATGAAGGCATCAGCGCATTGGGCAGGCACGGCGACTTGATCATTTCTCCCGTCTGCTCTTCCGAGAAATTGATACATCTTCTGTTACACGTTCTGGCACGCCACTTCGCTTGCACTTCCCCTTATCACAAAATTAGCTACTAACGCTGCGTCAGTGAACAAGTAATTCACCTAGGTAAGCTAATGGCACTACTCGAAAAGGCTGAAGCTGGATCCAGCCAACTTCGGTTTGAGCAGTACAATGCGGTACCAACATTATAAACCCAGAATAGGCTTGCCAGGCAGCGAGGCCAGCGAGCCAAGGTGGCGGGGTTGCAATTTCGTCTATCTGGAGATCTGGATCGAGAATTCTAAGATAGTCCAAATGCATGAGGCAGCAGGGCCATGGCTTACCCCATGAGGATCTGACTGATAGCAGTTAGGTCCACCGTACACAGCTGCTTACGCGGCACAATTTAGCACGGACCAAATCGCAACCGCGCACTCCAGTTCAGTACATCAAAAGGCCCTCGAGGACATGCTGCGTACTTAAACTCTCCTTTGTGCGTCGGCAGCAGTCACTGGGTACACTGCTAGCGAGTGTGAATGGAGAGAACGCGTTCCACTCGCGTACAAACCAGCGGAGATACTTGCCGGAAAAATAACGATAAATACCAGCTGCTGCACTGAAAAGGGCCAGCGCTAGCAAACAGTAAACCCAATACGCTGAATGCATCCCAAGACGTCACAGCTGCGGCTAGCCTGCCTAAACAAAACTGAATATAGGAGTTGCATAATGGCTGGTCGTCCAGAGTGCATAAATGCGACGCCGCTGCCCCGGTCCGTCCACAAAGCAAATCCCCGCGAAGACGTGGCTTCCCGGGAGACCGGAAACGTTCGCGCCCTAAAGCGCTAAATACGCCCAAACAATTTTTCAGTGGTCACCTCACCGCCCCTTAAGCAGCCCCCCGCCGCCACCTGCCCCAACTACATGAATGAATGTCTGGCCCTGCTGCCGATGCAATTACTACCAGATGCACTTTCAGTCCGCCTCTTAATCCCAATCAGCTGCAAATCCTCCGACCTTGGGAGATTGAGCCGTATTGTACGACGCCGCGCCTATGCTGCTCCCGGCCCCGCCGCCCATCCCATAATCGTCATATGCATCAGCGGCCATCTCATCGGCGAATTGCTGGTTCATTTCCGCTTCCTCCTTCGCCTTCATCTCTGCCCGGAGCTCCGCTTCGGCCGAATCAAATGCCTCTGCCTCTTCGCCAGCGTCCTGGTCCTCCAGCCCGTCCTCGGCTGGCCGCTCATCGTCCCCGCCAGCAGGCCCCTTGCGGACACCACCACCGGCGCCTTCATCGCTATCGCCGTCGTCACGAGGCGTCGGCTCCGTATAAGCGTCATCCTCCTCCACCGCGCCTGACACCCGGTTCGTGTCGTCGTCAGCAGCGAAGTCCTCGTCATCATAGCCGCTGTTACCGGCATCCTCGCGACGGTCCTGTGCGCGCACAGCTGACCCCGAGCTTGACTTCGACCCGCTCCTATCGCTTTGGGCAGCCTCCTCTTCATCTTCCCGCCGCTTCTCGTCCTGATCCTCCTGCTCGTACTGCTCGTCTGCGTACTCATCCTCAACGCTGGTCCCAGGGTCAACTGCGCCGGCCCCACCCCCAACACTGCGCTTGGAGCTTGATGAGGACGTAGAAGACGATGGTTTGAGGCCTTCGCTGCTCGCGCTCCCCTTGCGCCCATCCTCGCGCTTTCCAGCAAAAGAAAAGGAAGCACCGGCCATGGTTGAGGTGGACTGGCTACCCGCCGCGCTGCCCCCAGCGTGGGTGGATCCTGGCCGGCTGCCCACCACGGGACCAGCCGACGGCTGCGCCTGAGGGGCCTCGCCCCCTAGCGAGCCCCCGCTGTGCCTGGAGGACAAGCTATGCCGCGATGAGCCGCTCTGTCGCGATGAGCCGTTTCGGTGCGATGATGCGCTCTCTCGCGGAGACGTCGCGCCAAGGCCCTCCTGCGTCCCGCCCACAGCGGTGCCTGGTCGGGAATTGCCGCAGGATAAGGAGGGTAGATGGATGCCATCGCGGTCCTGGCCCTCCTCGTAGCGCGGCTGGCTGGGGGACGTTGGAGCGGCGGGCCAGCCCATTCGAGGGGCCTGCCGAGAGCCCCGATTGGAGCTTGACGAGCGGCCTGTCAGTGGAGCGAGATACGGCGTATTGCGTGCGGCGCTGATGCTGCGGCCCGGCGGATGGTACCTGAATGCATAGGGGACGCGGCCGTGACATAAAACCGTGAATCGTGCTAGCTGGCTTGAGGTCAACAGCGCACAACACCACGCCGAAATGGAGCGGATAACAGATTAGCTTGCTTAGAACGTGCAGCCAGGTGCAAGTCGGGAGCTGCGCGGGACTGGTAGGCAACTTAACCGCAAGGAGCGGAAATGCTTCGCGGAACGATGGAACGGTGGAAGAGCACACCTGGCGGATTCGGGGCCGCGGAAGTTGGAGATGCGGTTGACAAGTATGCTTTCCTCTGCGTGGCGCCGCTCAAAGACCTCGTTGCTGTAGTGCGTGCGCATGGTGGTGATAGCGCGGAGCAGCTTGGTGTTATCAACCTGCAGTGTGCGGATGGGGGAATTTCATGGTCCCACTAACACTGTAGCCACAGCATAATGGCGTGGGGCAGGGCGCGGGATACCCGATGACACGCCCGCAACGACACGAACCTGTATTTCCATGTCCCTTAGACGGGCCGTTACGTCTGGCGGCGCAGTGCCGGGACGCGTCAGCGCGAAGTAATGTATGGAGCGCGGAGACACGCTGCTGGTTAGGTTGATGTGGTCTAACGTCTTGGTGTTCGTTGCCGGATCGTAATAATGGCCCACTTTCCATTGGAAAGTTGACCGAGCTGTCCATGGCCGGAACACTGCGCGCGTGTCCTGCTCCTTGATGCGAACCATTTTTTGCAGGAGTATAGCGTTCTCCTGCAAGGGGGACCCGCAGTTCCTGTATCAGCCATTGTTGTAATTCAATACAAATATTATACGGGGATCCATGATGCCTCCTTACCCTGTCAACTTCAGTCTGCCGCTCCTTGTCGAGCATCTGACGCTTGCCCTTCGAAAGCACTAGATCAAACGTCTCCGGCTTCGTATTGTCAATGCGATGCTTCATATCTACTAGCCGTTGCTTATGGAGGTCCATGCAGTGACGCTGCCATCGCTGCGCATAGGAATAAGGGGTGGAGGGGTGTTGGGCTGGACAGCGGCGGAGATGAAGCAGAAGCAAAGCAGATGTATCCCTGTGCTCTGTAATCCATCATAAAACTTTAACATAATGGGCCTAAGCGTTTAAAAGAAAGACGGCTGGCAAAAGTGGGACGCGGATGTGCCCCCCCTACCGCACCGGCCCGCCATACCTCATCGCAAAGATGAGAAGAAACGGGAAATGCTTTGCGTCCTCTGTCCGCCATGCTTTAAACGGCGACACCCGGATTCAGTAAAGATAGTAACGTCCTAGTGTTTAGAAACGCTGTTCTTAATTTAAAAGCAGCAATAACCACCAGAAAATCATCAGTTGTGACCTACAAATGTGGGACGTTCACAGCTATACGCTAAGGGTTTAGCTTTTGTGTTTGCAGGGCCTTCGAGTACGGGTGGTACGGCGACACCAAGAAGCAGGCGAAACAAGATTTAGAGGTGCTATGTCAACAGCTTTGGCATTGCGGCTTCCGTTTCTATGTTTAGCATATAGGATGCACCTGAAAGGCAGTGTTCCTAAGGTGCTCTGCCCTCCTTTGAGACTTGGTGGAATTGAAAGGCTCTGGTACGGCGCTTGGCCATGCTATCAAAGCTCGAACATGTTGTCTGATATAATTTCTTTCAATGTCACTTTTTCTTAGTTCGCGTCCATAACGGATGCAGCCCCGACTGGATGGTTATAAAGTGATCCTTCGTAACCGTCGGTTTTCAGCTGTATTTACGCGTTTTGTAACATGCACCATATAGGTCTATCAGCTTTCAGGGCAGCAATAATTTAATCGACCCGTCGGCCTGAAGTTACCTGCCGCCCGTCAAAGGTGCAGTTTTGGTGACCAGAAGTAGCATCCCTTGGCCACCAATTTGCTATAATTTAGTATTAGGAAGATCATTGGTGCGTACGACTATAGCTGCTTCCCCGCCTGGAAAATGACAGCTCTGGGGCTGTAAACAATTCCTCCGCAACATTATCCCCCCGCGGAGATAAACGGGCGGGGGATGCCTCCTGTTGGGATATTCATCGGGGTATCACCGTGGGGGCGGGGCCCACTGCGCAAGCCAAGGTAATCGCACGCCGGATTTCCAAATTCTGCAATGATAACAGTACCGGTACCGCGAGCGAGGATGGATATAGAAGTGGCTACTGCACGGTGCACCGCTTAATTAGCCTGGTGCACCACATTTCCAGCTATACACGGGCCAGTATCTGCTCTTTCCTCGTGATGCAGTTAGACTTTTAGTAAGGCTTTTGGTTCTATTGACCACGAAGCATTATAGTGACATGCTAAGACTTATGAAGAACGCGAAGCCATAGAATCTGGAGATTGTGTTTGTAAGGTTCAGGACATCTCGATCATGAACGTATAACTCAGGATGCAGCTTTCCTTCTCGGGATATCGGAGCCCAAGGAGAATTCATCGTATTTATAATTCGGCAACATGTTATTACAATCCAGGTACCACTCCTGATGGCATGGTCCGAGTGTCGCCACACGGCCTCGCAGCACGCCTTAGTGCGAATATCTTTCCAAACGAATTCCAACCAAATGACCAAATCGCAATTTTACGCTTAAAAGAATTTCATACCCCGCCGGAGCATTAAAGAATGTTCCGAACCAACAACCAACAGCTCTCGTGCACTGCTGCCGCGCACACATCAGCTCCAGATGGCGGAACTCATTTGCCGGGTCAAGGAGGCTGCCCAACCCGGTTGAACCCCCTCCTTCGTTTTCCGCATGCAGTGGCAGCCCGCATACCAGCAGCTTCCGAGACCGCCGCAACCAAGCGCCACAGTCTTTGCGTAGCAAGGCAACCGAGGCCATAGAACACATCCCATAACCCCTCGCTCAACACTAATACCAGATAGCCCTGGTTTATAGTACTGTTACTGTGTTACACGGGCGCCAGGGCGCTCTTCTTGGCCACGTGCACAGCCAGATCGACAACGCGGTTGCTGTAGCCCCACTCGTTGTCGTACCAGGCGACGAGCTTGACAAATGTGGGGCTCAGCATGATGCCGGCCTTGGCATCTATCGTGCAGCTGGCGGGGTCAGTGATAAAGTCGGAAGACACGACGTCGTCCTCGGTGTAGACCATCACGCCCTTGAGCTCGCCCTCCGAGGCAGCCTTGAGCGCTGCCATGATGTCCTCGTACTGCAGCAACATGACACCCACGGGCCCAAGCATTACACAAAAGGCGCCAGAGAACATTAAGCCTGCCAGGTTTGTCAACTGGACGTTTAACCCTCTCCCACGAGAGCAGATGAGAACACCTAATTGCAGGGGGAAATATCGCCATGCCAGGTATACCTAGTTGGCAAGCCCAACCTGTATTTGTACAGCCAATCAACGCCCAGGTAGCAGAAATTTGCGCAGCAAACCAGCTATGCAAAAAAAGCCTTCTTGTCTTACCGTGGTTGCCTTCTCCAGTGTGACGGTTAGGTCCACCACGGACACGTCGTTAGTCGGCACGCGGAAGGCCATACCCGTCAGCTTGCCCTTCAGCTCGGGAAGGACCTGGGATACAGCCACATGTAACGGATGGCGGCAACAGAAACGAATCAGGCCCCACCCAGCCCGACCCTAGCGACATTGGCTCCGGTATCATGGGGTTACGGCTTTACAACGCCAGAAATGTATGTATGCATGTATGTACCGGGGTTTGGTAGCCCAGCGTCTTGTCTTGACACATACTTGACAAGTAAATGAACCTAAATTCCAAGAAATCGAGACACTAGCTTTAGTAGCTCGCATCTACTGCCTTGCCGTACCTTGCCGACGGCCTTGGCAGCACCGGTTGAGGATGGGATGATGTTGCCGTTGACGGCACGGCCCCCGCGCCAGTCCTTCTTGGAGGGACCGTCCACCGTCTTCTGGGTGGCAGTGGAGGCATGCACCGTGGTCATGAGCCCCTCCTTGATGCCGAACTTCTGGTGGATAACCTGATGTGCAGGTGGGCAGCAGCAAGGAGCATCGAGCCTGAACAGGTAGTGTTGTTTGCCGGGGTAGAAACACCTTCACAAACGAAATCACGCAGTCAGAAGTTTAGCTTATGCAAAGAAAAAAAGGAGTGTTAAACCATAATGTAAACAAAAGAGTAGCTACGCCTCTCTTTTTAATAAATACCTTTGCAAGTGGAGCCAGGCAGTTGGTGGTGCAGGAGGCGTTGGAGATGATGGTGTCCTTAGCTGGATCAAACTTATCGTGGTTGACGCCCATGACATACATAGGGGCGTCGTTGGATGGGGCGGTGATGATAACCTTCTTGGCGCCGCCCACCAGATGCTGCGATGCCTGATATTAACCGGAGTTACAAATCGACAGAACGGGGAGGGCGTAAGTTGTGACAGATCGCGCGAAGTCACTTTTCCAGGTCACTCTCCGGGCGTTAATGTTGGATTGGATTGGATTTGCCCAAGGTGGGGAGGGTTTGTGTGTGTGGGGGGGGGGGGAGAGAAGATTGCATGATGAACTGTATGTAATTTTATAGCAGGGCAGTGAGCGAAGATTATAACCATCGCAGCTTTCCACCGGATGCCGTACCGTACCTTGGCAATGTCGGTGAAGACACCCGTGCTCTCGATCACAATGTCAGCACCGGCGGCGGCCCAGTTGATCTTGGTTGGGTCCCTACATACATACACACATTAGCAGACGAAGTGAGACGCCCTATCAAACGGTCAAGCCAATTCTGTGCTTTAGCATTTATACTTGTATAATGAATAAAAGAGCCAATACATGTTTGCAATAAGTCTCGTTTGCAATAAGTCTCCTATGCGAAAAGCAGCTGGGACAGGACAGGGTTCTGCCGGAAGCTGGAGTGGTGTTTCCAAACGACAGCAGTCACGTCATACAAGGTTTCGTCCATATTAGATTTGTCAAAATTGTGCATTTACAAGAATATGTATACACGGTCACTGGCGACTTACGTCTCCGTAAAGGTGTGGAGTTTGCGGCCCTCGACAAAGAAGCCCTTCGAGCTGCCCTCGACGTGACCTGGCCAGGTCTTGTGAACAGAGTCATACTTGAACATGTACGCCATGTACTCGGAGTCAATGAAAGGATCATTGATAGCTACCACCTCGATGTCGGGACGCAGCATCGTGGCGCGCATCACCAGACGGCCAATTCGACCGAAACCTGCGCCGCAGAGCCGAATCCGTTTTTTCGCCAATTACTGAGAAGTTCAGCATTGTCTATCAGTAACCTGTCACCTGCCTCTAGGATTCAGTGACCGACACAGTGTCGGAGTTATGATGTATTCCAAACTTACCATTGATACCAATTTTAATCTTCTCGTCACTTGCGCGGATAGCTGGAACCACCACACGGGAACGGCTTGACCGGCCTGCGCGGGCGACGACGGCCACACGCTGCTGCACAAGGAGAGCCATCGGTGAGTTGGTTCCGGCAGAATGAGGGAACAGAGAGAGGATTGGGCAATGTGTGTGTCCGCGACGTGATGAATACAAGTTTGAAGCTACAGTTCTAATTATGTGCCCTACAGGGCTTTTAATGGGAGCAACGAAGTACGGCCCTGTCGGCCACGTGATTCCGGAACCTACTTTCCTTATCCTGAGTACATAATGGCAATTATCAGACGAATATGTTCCAAACCTAGATTTGGCGCAGTAAATGCAGTGCACAGCAACATCCTTACAGGTCGTTACGAAAGATAACTTGGGCAACCGAAACGAAACGTAAAGTGCAACACAAGTGCAATACTAAAAGTAATCTTCGGGCCTATAAGCTACTGCACTGAAACTTTTGCTTGCTATGAGGCATTTCTTTAAACATAGCGTCACCATATTCCGTCCATTTGGATTTGGTAATAAGGATTTGAGGCCCACTCCACTAGTCCAGCACCAAAAACATTCCAAAGGCCTGCGCTGAGCTTCTTCATGGGTGGAGTGCTTCAAGCGAGTTGCCTTCCTCTCTTCATTCTTTCCGGGTCGTCGCGGCGTATCTTTATATCGTAGCGAGGCTTCCCTCTTGCTCAGAACGACTATATGAAGTGAATCTTCGAAGAGCGCTTCGCCCAGGACACCGTGCCCACCATCACGGGGGTTTCGGAAATATTCTCATGTTATGGCGCGCATATGTGTCATGTTGCTACTGCAACGGGTACTTGTCAAGGGAGCTTTAGCTTGCCCCTTTCTCGCATCGTGCTTGGTCTTTAAGCATCAGTATAAATCTAGCGCCGGTAAAGGTGATAATGGAAACGACTTCAGTTGCGCCCGCCAAATCCATACATCCAAAATGTCAGCCAGCTGTTAGCCCTCCTCCGAGGAGGAGAGGCCGTTGGACTCCCGTTATGAAACATCTGTAAATCGCCATTTTGAACTCGCCAAAAACACGTTTTGTGACGCCGGGAAGCTAAGTAAGCTTCTAGCCCTAGTAAGCTTCATAGGTTGGGTTTCGATTAAGTTGTAAGCTCGCGGCGTGGGTCGTGATCGTAGTTTCATATGCTTAGACATAAGTTGCTCTCCTATATGCTGTATATGTGAGCCGGGTCGTTAGGCAAGGCTGAGTGCTGTTGGCCGCAAGCTGCGTATTGAGTTGTCAATGGGGGATCAATGCGCCTCAGCCAGCGAGCGTGCATGCACACACATACATACACATCTATACAAATGCATACACACACACCCAGGCGGGCAGGCTGGCGGCTGGCAGAAGTTAAGGCCTAACTTCTGCTCCCGGAGTTCGAATCCGCCTGCCGGCTTCACGGGTGTTAGAGAAGTGTTGTAATGGGAGGTGGCCCCTCATCTTGCGGACGGTGTAGGACGTGATTATATCAACTTGCGAGCTGACCAGGAGCTGACCAGGAACTAAGTTGAGGCGCCGTTGATCCGCTAGATTTGGTTGGATGCTGGCCTTGAGTTGCTGAACCCAACGAATACATACCGAAGTTGGATGGGGTGAACGGAATAGGGTGCAGGGGAGAGCAGGGAACTGCCTCGGGAAAGGGATCCGCTTGTGAAGCTTAACCACCCTGTAACGACATACACACCCATACTCTCTGGAAGACTCGCATGTATCGGTTTCGAGGCCCCCAGGCGTGCATGGCGTCTGTTTCAATGCTTTTTCGGGGGCTTTTCGCATTCTGCAACATCTTGCCTCATCGTGCTGTTGTGTGAGGGATTTGTGATGGGCATAAATCTTGTATCGTACACCCGCGCCACTACGCAAAGTCCCACACCACATATCCACACCAACTCAACACACGGAACCCACATATGCAGGCAATGTGGTGGTTTGATGGTTTGAGGTGGATTTGGGAAAATGTGGGAGACACGCGGGAAGGGGACCTCCGGAGGCATGATTGTTGGGACTATCCCGTCCTGTTCGGCTGGCAGCACTCAGGGTTCTTCACCAGGGTACCCAGAATTTTCGGTTGTGTCCGAAACCCTCTGATTAACCTATCGGGGCCCTCCCCGAATCAACCAATACATCGATAGAGCCCTGTTTGCAGCTGGTTGCTGACGCATTACCTGCACCTTGGTATGCAGTAGGTTGTATCAACCTAATCGCATCGCACTTTTTCTGTTCTTTTGTCGTACTGCACGGTGCACAGCTTCAGCCGTAGCAGTCGTACAGTACGGCAGGTGGCATGCAACGCGTATGCTTGGTGCTGCCGTACATCCAACTGCGAGACCTGCACCTGAAACTTTTTTCTGGCACCCCGAAACTGTCTGAAGCTGTTTTCGGGGTAAAATTTAGCAGGATTCTATCGTAATATGCTAGGACGGCTGAATTAACAGGTGTTTGACTTTGTTTTGGAACATGGCACCTGGGAGCAATGGTTCAGGCAAGGATTTTATCCAAAACCCTAAGCGTGGAAACAAGTGGACCCACTGATGCATTCCAGCCCAGGCCCGCTCCCAGGTGGTGCGGCCCAGCTCCAACTGCAAGGCCATCTTATACTGCAAGCCCGGTTTCCAGGCCCTTTCCGCGCCCGAAAACATGCAAATTTACGCTTAAATATCGTTCGGTTTTCTCCGAAAATGCCTTCGGGAGGCTTCGGTGGGGCCCCCGAAGAAATGCTTCAAAAGGCCCAAAATCCGTTCGGGATGCTCCGGGCCGCGTTAATTTTCCTTTCGGGCAAAACGGAAAAATCTCAAAAATGTTCGGGCCCGAATCGGGGTGAAGAACCCTGCTACCTGCTGCCAGCAGTAGCAGTAGCAGCGGCAGCGGCAGCACAAGGCCGCAAAGCTCTCTAGGAAAGATGCAGCAAAGTAGTATTGCCGCTGCCAGCCATCAACTAAGCATGACTGCCAACTACTGATTTCTGTTTGATGAGTCTGTTGCTGAAAAGCGTGTGGAACCAATATTTCCTCCACACCCGCATTCCACCTTACAGCCTTTTCCATTAGAGAAGTTTTGCGTTGCAACCCGAATGTGCACGATACCTGCGTTGTACTGCTGTTATTTTTTATTAGCAAACTTGACCTGTGTGTGTATGTGTGCTTTCGGCCTTTCGTCTCTACTCATGGCGTGTTTCGCTCCCGCCCCACCAACGCCACGAGCATGAACGCCATTTCCTCCGCCACCTGCTCTGCCTGGGCACCGGGATCCGCCCGCACATGGCCCGAACCGTCAAAGTACACACGTAGCAACGGGGCGCACACGCCCCGTCCGTCATTACCACCTGCACCACCGTCGTGACCCTCCTTTGTAACTAATGTACTCGGCACGAGGCCGCCGCCTGCCCCGCCGTCACCAGGCCCTGGCACTCGATTCAACCTGCCACGGGAGCCGGTCCCTCCCCGCAATAACCCGTCCATCAGCCGCCGCCACCGGCCGCCGTTCACGAGGGTGTCGTCGCCGCTAGCATCGTTCTCGTGTGCTGCAGCCGGCTGATCCAGATTACGACGCAGTCGTTCACGTAGGCGAGCCACCCACTTGGCAGGGATACTAGGGTGCACTCGCGGGTCCTACATGAGGTCGACCATTGGGTATCGCCTTACGCGAGAAACCATTTTACCATACGTCCACAGCATAGCATGTGGAGATGTGCCGTGCGTCGTACGTCAAAGCAACAACATATACTTGCAGGTTTTTCCTGTACTCGTGACACGGCAGTCGCCGCTTTCATGTACCCGCAAAAACCCAACCCCAGATACACACTCCCATCCCACACATCGTCTCTAAACCCTATTCAGCAACGGGACCTAAACTTCAAATCGGGGTAACCCCCCAACTCACGACATCGACGAAGGACGTCCATCCTCCGGTTCGTACCTCCTCTGCGCAACTTGCAAGCACAGCCGCCCTCCACCTCCCCACGGCCTGATCCAGATTGTGATACGGACAGAGCTTCCCAGCCGCGACCCAGTCCCGTGGGTCGTCAGGATGACCCCACTCGTCCCACTCGTGTGCGGTTAGCGGTTGCCCGGTATCGCTGCAACTGCCCAGAAGCTCCAGGAAGGCGCACCGCAGGACGGCAGCACCGAAGAGCTCAGGAGCAGTGTTAAGCACGGCACCCAGGACGACGCCACCTGGGAACTCATAAGAGTTGTACATGCAGAAATCTGGTTTGAACACAGGCACTGCAATATGATGTACGATAGCGTTTTTATTTCCAAGAAAAAACGCTGTGCGTGTGTGTACACTTAAGGTACGAACCGTACGTCCGCGACTAAAGGACGACATTTTTACCCAGCCCAGCCTAATATAGCTCAGCCCTCTCACCCAGTCCTCTCCTCTCCCTTACCGGCGCTAATCGCATGCCCCGCCACCAGTCCGGCGGACGTCAACGGACCCACAGCGGCGGACTGGGACGGCGACCGGCACATGGAGGAGGAGAAGGCGGCTGGGGCGGTAGTAAGGACCCGCAGCGCTGCAAGGCAATCCTCCACAGCCGCCCTCTTGTGGCGGCGACAGCCGGCGCTGTGCCAACGGCGACCCAGCTCGCCGCCTGTATGTATGTATGTATGTGTGTATGTATGTATGTATGTATGTGTGTATGTATGTATGTATGTATGTATGTATGTATGTATGTATGTATGTATGTAGCTTCTGTTACACATCGAACCGGGCCTGACGCTGGCCAGCGGCACCTAAACGTAAAATACCCGAAGGGAACGACCGCCGAAGCACTCTCCCCCTAGCGGGGGGAGGAGAGGGGCGTGAGGGGCCACAGCCCCCTTCTGCTCGACCGAGGGCGCGCGACCCTGTGTCTCTACCTCACGAAATCGATGATGAGAGAGCGCACGGTGGCTACGAAGGCCCTCTCACCACCAACCTCAGCACGCGCTGCGGCACAGTCCCGCCCAGGCATCATGCACCATTTGCAGGTGCGGCTTGGTCCACCCCGGGTGGGTCCTTGCTTCACCCGGGTCCACCCCTCCCCTTGAGGGCCAGCCTTATCGGTGCCTTGAGCCCAGAACGGAACTCTACAAACGTGGCCATGACCTCCCGCTGCGGCCCGGAGACTGCTAATCGGCACAGCCAGGCCACACAAAGGTTGCCGGCT